ACACCACCACTGCCCCCCGCAGCTGCCCCCACCCCCACCCTACCACCGCTACCGTTTTCTAAAAGTGAAAACCGATAGAAATATACACATCTAAACGCGTTTTCTAATTTTTTAAAATTGAAAATGAAAAATGAATAAGTTTTAACTAAACGCGCTTTCTAAATTTTCTAATGAAAACTGAAAAATGGAAAACAAAAACTGAAAAGGGAAAACGAAAAACGGAAAATGAAAATTGTTTTTCCGTAACTAAACGCAACCTTACTATTCCAAAACTGATATTCATGGGAGCACTGTGTGAAATATCAATTTTTGGGTTACCCAGATTTACAGTTCCCCGAGATAAGTCAACATGTGGAAGTTCCCAACCCGATGCCGATATCAAACAAAGTTAATATTGACAGTCCAAACATGAGTGTTCTTAACTCTAGTCCAACATCTTCAACCGATGGAGCAATAAACAAAGAGACTTAAAACTACTACATTGTCTACACTCGACGCCCGAGACAACAAAATGGTGTGGTTGAGCAATTGCCTACTAAAGCACACAATCATAAATCCCTTCCAAACTCACAAGTTAATTCTCCTACTGAAGCACACAATCATGACCCTAAACCCTAAACCTCTTTCGAACACACAAGGTAATACTTCTCTAATATTTCCCCTGATGTGTCGGATTATTTGAATGTTCCAATTTCATTACGGAAAGCGAAGAGGAGTTGTACTATGCATCTAGTTAGTAACTTTGTTTCATATGAAAAACTATCACCAAATACAAAGTTTTTTCTATTTAGTCTCTAAAACAATAGTTCCTAATAATTTTCAAGAAGAGGTTTATAAAAAGGAATGGAAGGTGCGGTGGTTGAAGAAATCAATGCTCTTCAGAAAATAAAAAACATGGAAATACATAACTCTTCCACCCGGAAAGAAGATTGTAAGGTGTAAATGGGTGTTCTTGGTGAAACATAATTGTGTATGTATCAACTAATATAAAGCAAGGTTGATTCCTAAAGGCTTTACACAATCATATGAAGTTGATTACGCTATAAAATTGCTCCAATGGAGAAATTAAATTTCATCCACATATTGCTCTCCTTCACTGCCAATCTTGATTGGCCTTTGCATCAACTCGATGTGAAAAACGCATTCTTAAATTGGGAACTACATGAAAACGTTTATATAGACATCCCACTAGGAATCGAATCACATGATAACAAATGAGTGGTGTGCAGACTGAGAAAATCCTTATATGGACCGGAGTAGTCGCCATTTGAATGGCTAATATAAGTATCTTAAAGTTATGATTTTATCCAGGGTCAAACTGATCATACTATATTCACTAAACACTTTGGTTGGTGTGGATGGATGGTTAACCACAGGTAATTGCACATTTGTGTGGGGTAATCTGGTTCTGGTCACTTGGCATAGTAAGAAGTAGTATGCAGTGTTGAGGCTAAAAGTAGAGCTATATGTCAAGGAATTTGGTTGTAAAGGATGCTGAAGGAACTAAAATTTTCAAGCAGCCACAAAATGGCTTTGTTTAGTGAAAATAAGGCATCCATTGAAATTGCTAGAATTCATGTTCACAATGATCGGACTAAACATGTGGAGATTGATCCTCACTTCATTAACGAAAAGCTAAAACTTAGAATTCTGGAATTGTCATATGTCCCATCAAACATTTATATGGCTCATATCCTCACCAAGACTCTTCCAAGAATAAATTCGAAAGCATGACGAGCAAGTTGGATATGATTGATATATATTAGACAAAATTGCAAAAATGGTCCCTGTGGGATGTATTTTTTTGGGGTTTTAGTCCAAACCACGACTTTTTTGGATTGGTGGTCCTTTTGAGCTAGTTTCCTTGCACTTTTGGTCCCTGTCCAAACTAAAAAGACTATTATACCCTTAATGAATTTAATTTTCATTTTTCTTTCACATTTTAAAATTATTATTATTATTAAATATAAAATTGGGCCCACATGTCCACCCTCTCTCTCTCTCTCTCTTTCCTAAAATCAATTACCCCTCCATTGTCGTTGCTGTATGGTGGCCACCAAACACCGCCAAGGACCACCGCACAACCGCTGTTTCATCAACCAAACCCACCCAAACCTCCTTCATTCTCCGTCTGTTACTACCTTTTCCCCTCTTCCTCGTCGTGTGCTACTAGACAGAAGAAAAACAAAGAAACTAAAGCTGTCACTTCTATCGCCAGCCACCCATCGCCGCTAAACGCCACCGCTGTGGAGCCACAGACCATCGCAAGCAGACCACTGTCACCACCGGGTTGCTGTTGTTTTTTATCACCACCGCCCCCCTCCCTCCTCTCCCTCTCATTCGTTACCGGCAGAAGAGAAACCAGACAGCAAGGTTGCCACCCCACTACTGCCGTTGGGGCTCTTTCCTCCACAAAAAAATGTCGTCGTCACCGTTACTTTTTCCTTCCGCCGTACCCATCTTTGTTCGCCTCCATCCTCATCGGACTCGTCGGAACAAGAAATGGAAGCAGCGAAGCTCCCAACACCGCCCACTGTCGCTGCTACTGTGGAGCTCCGACACCACAACTGTTGTTGTGAATTCAGAACTCCACAACCACCACTCTTGCCGGAACTCTGCCTTCCTTGCTTTCATTCGTTTGTAGCTGCCGAAAACCATCACCACCGTGAGGGTGGTGTTGCTATTGTGACCACCGAGAAACCCTCACCACCACCTAGAACACCCCCAGTCACCCTTAATGCAGGAGGTATTGATCAACCACCACTTTTTTTGTTGATTGCTTCCCTTGTTCTTATATCAGCCGCGATCGAAGGAAATGGGTCTCGTATCCCATAATCGTGACTTGTAAAAGAGAGAGAGGTGGGCCCCATAATTTTTATTAATAAAAGTTTAAATTAAATAGCAAAAACCATTAAAAAAATGTATCAGAAGGACATTTTCAGTTTTCTAGGGGACCAAAAATGCAAGGAAACTAGCTCAAAAGGACCATCAATCCAAAAAAGTTGTGGTTTGGACTAAAACCCAAAAAAATGCATACCTCAGGGATCATTTTTGCAATTTTGTCTATATATTATTTCCAAAGATGAGGGGAAGTGAAGATTTCTGATATCTTTTTTTTATATTATCTCATTATTTATTACGTAATATTGGCTTGAGATGTCTAGGGCCGGCCCTACTCTTTTTTGTATAAATATTATATGTGTTGTATGTATAGCTCTTGTCGGCATATAGCCCATTCTATTAGGCTGGAGGGAGTGGGTCGATATGGACGCTCGCCTCCAGCTCGCCATGGACTCGCTACACCACACCCTCACCTTCGCTACAGGAGTCGCCAAAGAT